CTATAAATACGGTGTTGAATAATCTAGGCGAGGCGAGACAATTCTTTGTTCCGATCTCTAATGGATCTTTCTCACCGCGATGCAGCTGCACAGTGCGAAATTTTGTTTGTTTTACAGGCATTGAATTCGGCGCGTGCCAAGTTTACCTAAAAATACCTATGTCAGGATTATAAATAAGCCGCGACTTCGAAACAATTTCTCTTTCGCGAGACTCCTTTTATTTTTCCCACTATCCAATGTAAAACGGAGCAAATGGAAGAAGCTCGAAGAAGCAACACACCACCTGGCCAACCACCAACAACTTTTCTTCTTAAGCACCTGTGTGTGCTAATTAGTGCACTGCGAGCGGCTCATCTCGCAAACGTTTCGTCGCTACATTGAGATATCCTTAAAATAATATTGAGAATAATATGCTTGGTCTACATAATAGACGCAATTATTATACACGAATAAATCTAGACTTAACAACCAGATGAATTAACTATGATTTACTATCAAAATTATTAACTAGATAATAAGTTTATTTTTATAAACACAAACAAAAATGTCAAATAACAGCATGATACAAAACTTTACATGTTCTTAAGATAATTATTATCTTTAATTTGATCTACTTGGTCTACTTAATAGATCTAAATAATATACTTGAGTAAATCTAGATTCCGTTTCCAAATGAATTAAAATTATGTCTATATCAACATTTCTCAACAGATCCTCGCTTTGACACAAGGTGACAGCAGTCATTAAAAATTTTGAGTCGTAATTCATAGACAGAGAAACTCTGGTATATATTATTGAGTTTCGTAAAATCTTGAATACAACGCGCACTTGCTTAAATTAAATTCAAATTCGTATATAATACGCATTAATAACTATTCAAGAAATAATTTTAAATTGCATTAAACATTTGTTAAAAATCTGTGCCTGCTCTTGATCATTATATAGTGTGTGCGCAAATTAATACAAATTGAGCGCATTATACACGATATTTTGTGTTAAACTATATAAATAAAGAATTAAATTTTTAATAGTTACAGCTCAAACAGATGGCAGCACAACGCATATTTTGGAGCGAATGAATCGAAAACAAGAAGAAGAAGAAAAAACACCTTTGCTTCTGTTTGGCCTGTAGTTTACTTGATTCAAAAACACTCATAAAAGTTTATATCATGTTTTATGTTTGGGCAATTATTCTATTTCGGAATTACGCAGGCAGTAATTCTCTTTAATCCGTAAATCTTGGGAAATAAGTCTCCACGAAATTTGTATCCTCGGGACTTGCTCAAAATGAAGGATGTCGGAAAAGGTGGTAACATAATAAATCTAGATAATATCCAACCTCTGTTGTCGTTTAAATTCTATTAAATTATCTAAGTTTTACATAAATATAATTACATTGAATACATTTGAATATTTATCATTACAATATATATGTTAACTGCTTAATAAGTAGATTTTTTCAAATAATATAAATTGTCAAATGATAATACAACATCCAATCAATACAAACCTTTATATGTTCATGAAATTCACAGCTGTAAAGATTATCTATTGAGAAGAGAAGAAAGAAATTGTGTTAGAAGTTAATTGAAAAAGAAACGTGTATGATAGATTTAGTGTTGCATCTTGCTATGATGAGAAACTAATTCATGGAGTTTTAAGTCGCTTGTTATGTAATTAATGAGCGCTCGGACAATGGAGATGAAATGCTGATACGATGCGACAAGAATAACAATTTATTTCAACGTTTCCTCTTACATCACCAATTGCTGATCCACTATATTTGGCACAATTGTATAGCAGCATGGCAAAATTCAAGAGGAACTCTGAATAATCTATATAGTGATAATTAAACAATAAAAACATATGTTGTATAGATTTGTATTTTATTTTGTTATTTAATATTTTAAAGTAAATATAACAAAACATCGCATAGTCCGGTTTCACTATAGTCCGGTTTAAAAATTAGAAAACAAACTAAATTTTAAATCTGCAAAACTAAATTGTATAAAAATGATACAAAAAATATATTTTTATATATAAATAACCGTTTTTTTTTACATATTTAGTACCTTGATGTCAAATAGTCCGGGATAACGGTGGAACTGATTACCCACGCTATGCGAGATATTGCTGTACACTCTTTGTAGATTAACGATAATCTTGTTTTTCGTTTTAGGATCAAAAGACCTATGAAGATAGAAAATCCAATTTTACTGAGTAGAAGGTGTCACGACTGTAATAATCTTAAGCTTCCTTCCTTAACTTGTTTAGAATAATTTTGGATCATCTCCAGAAACATGCTTAATGATTAGTACTTTCGTTGCGTTTTTTGGCCAGATGTCGTTTACTGCAATTCAACGTTACACACTATAAATAAAGGTAAATTGAATTAGCGATACACCTTTCATTCAAGATTTACATTTAAAAATTGTAATCTCGCAATGAACTTGTCGTCTGAAGTGTGTACACGAAGCAGTACGTTTGACCGTGATATTATTTAGTTCTTCTACGTTTCAAGATGAAAGTGCCCCAGTATCATATTAATAATAGTAATAACAGACGGCGGGGTGGATGTAAAATTAGTCAGTTATTAAACCATTTGATCTCCTGTGGCCGTGATTTGTAGCTCGTGTGGATGCTGAAATTGGATGGCTCTTGAGATGCGTTCGTAATTATAGAAGGAAGGAAGGCAAAACGCAAGGCAAGAGGCACAGGGTTATGAAAACTCTCGGAAATTATATGCTGATGTGTGTTTGCTCGGATGGTGTGTTTTGCAAATACAAACGTATAGATGAGAGCTGCATTTACTCGCTACATACGCGACGATGAAGAGGAGTAGTAGTAATTAATTCAGTTTTGCGATCGAAACTAATTAACATCGCGGATAACGTTAATCCCTACGAGTCCCATCCGAGCCATGCAAGCACCGTGTCCCAATTATTGCTATCTGGGGATTTTAAATGACATTTCTGGGAAATTATTATTAATACGGTCGGCGATCCACACTTCTGTCTCTCCGGAATACAACAACTTGAATTCATTAAAGCATCAAAAGGTACTTAGTACCTTCCTGGAATTACAGCTGTCTTCATTACTTGAGTTAATTAGATTTAGTTAAAAATAATATTATCATTAGGCGTTAATCAGATTAAGTTTTAATATACAGAAGTTAGATAAATTTATATTTGACATTCTAGTTTAAAATAAACTGAAAATTTGAGGTTAAGTTAGGTATAATTTTGACGTTCTACAATAAAAATTGTACCTAACTTAACCTCAAATCTAACATTGAGTTAACATTACCTGTGATAACGATGCTTTGATATAACAAAGTCAGCAATTTCAAACAAAATATGGGTAGAAGTTGTTCAAGAAGAAGAAATTAATATTAATAAATAATTTCACGTAAGTAATATAACAAAAGGTATAGTTTTTCTTCATAATGTACCACCATATTTCATCATCTATATAAATGCTTCCATAAAACGTGAAATATTTAAAGAAAAGTCAACACCTGAAACGTATCATTCCCATATTTTTTCAATTTTTATTTTTACGTCTACTATTTAAGCTTAATGCTTAAGATTAATGGTGTCCTGTCAGGCAGCTACAGGGATTCATCTGGTTTCTATTACACTTGATTCTATATTCGAAAAGGAATTCCATTCCCATTTTTTTATGCGCGGGAGGGGTGAACGCATTGTACAAAAAAATCGTGTTATGCACTCAGAATGGCATTTCTAATTAAACTGTTAGAAACATCGAAAGGAGTATTATAATATTTATGGTATTTATTTATATACCTAAGAACTTTCACGAGGAGAGAGGGTTTAGGATTAGTTTACGATTCAAGTGTGGAAGTCAACATTAAGATGAGAAATATTGCAGAAGTCTGGATGAAAGGATGCTTTCATTCAGAGATGAATTAATGCATGCAAAAGATGGGAAGAGATCAAATTGATCACAGCCATATGCTATATACATTAATGTAAAAACATGAAAAATGCATTAACTGAACTGTTTAGATATTAATTCATCTAAATTTTTTTTATTTCCCCGACTTACGAACTCCCGGACTTACGAATGATTGCAAGTGTTTGTAAATAAGTATTTTGTTTATTTTAATCTATTTTTTTTTTTCAAATTTATGCAGTCAGTAATACGGAATTTAACATATATGAAAGTAAAAACTGTTATAATGTATGATAAGATAAGTATATTTTTAAATTTTTAAAATTCCCCCGACTTACGAATAAATTCGAGTTGCGACTTGAAAACTAAATGATAGCTCTGTATTCTTAAGTAAATAATGCGTTCATCTATTATGAAGACCAGAAGTCCAACAAATTTAGTTCGGAACATTATATATGAAATATCTGTTAGACCTAGTTCCTGCGCTATTTTAGTTTCCAACTCAAAAAATCTGAAATTATGTTTGGGAAGTCGAGCCCAACTATTGGTTTACGCCATTTACTTGGCTTGACTTCAATACACTGACTAGATCGCAAAATGCACGTGAAAAATATTAGAAATCAATTAGAAATAATGGAGAAGATTAGTTGTGGTATTCACAGAGTTTTTCACAAGAGTTTTATTATAAATTTGTTTAAAAACTGAAAGGATATCCGCTTCGATCATAATCTTTGATGCTGAAATTCTGTGATCCAAACAAGCGATGTGGGACGTTCATTAGTAGAGTCTTTGCACTATTCTTAGTTATTTCAGAGTAGTTTATTTCTAGTTGCATATGATGCAAAGCAAATGACGAAAGAAGTCGTTTTGAAATCATTTAAAATTTACAAAAAAATATATTAAAATTAAATTTAAAATTAAGACCTTTTATCTAAAATCGTTTATTTTTTTGTGAAACTTAATATTTTAATAAATCTTTATAAAGGTAATGTGAGAATCATGTATATTTATACTGAAAATTATCAACTGCTGCTAAAGCTATCACATTTCAGTTTTCTAATTTAGTATGTAGTATCCTTCGGCTGTGTATGTTATAAGGATTTGCGTATTGCTTTTGAATTATTATCGCAATAATGCGAACATTTAGTGAATGCATTTATCTTTCAGATACGTTGTTGTTCTGCATTTCCATTTGCAGCATAACTCGTATTGAATAACTGATCGCAGTACACCACATTTGGTATTTCTGTTGACGTGACCAAAATACCTCAGCAATCTTTACCTTATACCGTAGATTTATTAGTTTCCTTTTACACTTCATGGAAACAAGGTGCACATCACTAAAGCTGTCAATGCACGCAATACATAAGTGCAATTTTTCAAACTATAGAAATATTTTGAATCGACGCGAATAGCGATTATTCAAAGCAGGATAACGAAGCAAAAAAGAAACGGTATTGTTGCAGGATTAAAGAAGAGCGAAGGATCGATGTTCTTTATATTTTATACCTCAAGGATCTCTGCGAGAGGCGTTTTCTTCGCTGGTGGAAAATTGAAAATTTGCAACTTCCGTTCGGGGTGAAAAAAGGGGGACGAATGAAATAAAACATTGCTCGTTCATGTATGTATGTATATTGTTTTGTTTAGTGGTAGTACATTACTTTTATTATTTCTCATAGGTACACTTTCTACAAAATGCGGAAATCCCCCCCGAGGAGCAGAAGAAATAAAAATAATAATAATTCTGAGAATCAACAAAAAAAAGGGAACGAAAATAAAAAGGAAACAATAAAATTCCATTTCTACGCTAAGGGAAATCCGCATCAGCATATAATAATACATAAATCTATGGCAACAGACTAAATTACAAAAAAATAAAATAATTGCAAAAGAAAACAAAAATAAAACGCATTCGTTGTTTAAATAAAAAATAAACATAAACCTGCGCTTCTCTTCTCTTTTCCATCGCTGCTCTATTTACACTTAATAATTAATAATAATAATACTTATTTTTTTTTTCTTTCGAGAAATTTACAAGCACAATAAATTAAGACAAACAAAAATTTACAGAATTTTACTCTGAACATTGTTTATATAAATATTCATATATATTTTTTTTTTCGTGTATTTCATTTTAATTCCTGTGCATAATCAGAACACTTACTTAAATAAATTAATTTAAATTACGTGATCTACTCTCTTTTTTTTTACACTGAAATAGGATTAGGCAATTTCGGGAAAAAACAGTGTTGAAAGCTCTATATATGTACAACATCCAGAGGAATGCTGGGAAGAAAAGCACGCACGCTCATCCAAATACGAGATCATTTCTGAAATGATCGACGGATGATCGCAGCAAATATCGCCTTCAAAATCAAGTTGTTTTTGTTTTGCTGTTACTAGTTTCGTTTCCTTTCTATTGGCTAATATAGCTAACTACATTTTTGTTAATTATTTATTAATATATTTAATTTTTTTGTTCTTTTAATACCATATTATTAACAAGTAAAGCTGTTTGGTTTTAAGGAAGTTTGCAAGAAGAATGAAATTAGGACACAGTTGGCATTATGATAAGTTATGTTAAATGTGATTTTCGAAACTACGTTTTCTTCGGTCGTCGAGCGAGTCCAATTTACGTTTTCATGTTCTCATCGATGTAGACGTTGCCACTCTCCGAACCCAACCTTTTGTCTTTCCTTCCTGCAACATGAAATTGTTCACAAAATTAGTTCGTATTCAAATAAATTTCCATATAGAAATTAATTTAAATTCTAGGAGAAGAATCAGCAAATTTTAAAACACGATTTAAAGTCAAGAAATTATTCACAAGAAGTTCACAATATATTAAAATATATAAAATCGTAGATAATGTGAAATTGAGACATAAATAGTACAAATGAAGATAATTTTATAAATTTGTAATGATGTAATGAAATTGTATTTTATTTAAGTATTTTATGGAAAATTTACTATAAAATGTAATATTAGTTAAAAATATACAAAAATATAAAATGTAGGGCAGAAAGACCTATGGTCAATAGCCCTGCGTTTTCGTATCAGCTAACGTTTTTGAAATTATATATATTTATTTTGTTCTTTTTATTTCTGTATACATTTTTTTGTACGACTGATGCAATAAACATTATTATTATAAAATGTATAAAAACATATAAGAATTTATTTCGTTTATTTTATATAGAGCGTCATGTTCAGTGCGATAGTAAATTCACTTGTTACTGTAAGTTAAGGCCTAAATTAAATAAATAAGCAATTTATTACAGTGCCTTAGATTTGATTATCTAAATAGTTAAAGGTTAAATGAATTAAATTATTTTCATTAAAAACGCATTTTCATTTGGAACCAAAAGGTTTATGACATTTTACATTGTTATTATTATGAATTAACCCTTTCAATTCCAGAGATTCCAAATTAAATCATTAATTTTTACTGTTGGAAGCAACTAATGTGAATTGAAGCAAGATGTATTTTTAACAGTAGGTAATGTTCAATAATGAGAAAAAACATGTAAAATGTTTTTTTATGATTAAAGAAGTGCTTTTATAAAGATTTGAATAAAACAAACAAAAAAGGCCATTTTCTTTTATTGTTTGTTTTATTCAAATCTTTATAAAAGGGTTAATTTTTAACAGAAATCATAATATTAATTGCAAAAATTTCTACAATTATAAATAAATAAGAATAATACTAAAAATAAAATATTTATATAATCGTCCAGTTTACAAAGAAAAATTGTGATAAAATGAAAATAAAATAATTTTGAAATTATAGTAAATGAAAGTAAAGTTGAATTTTTGTAGTCGCTTTTTAAATAAATAGAACATGTAGATTTATCGATTCGACATCGTAATTTGTATCGCAGCGAATTGGATAATTTGAATATTAAACTAGTTGAATTGGCTCGAGTTGTATACGTAATTGACTCACCATGAAGGAGTTTCTCTAGATACACGCATCTGTTGTTGAGGTAGTTGGGATCAATTGTGCCCAAATTAGGGTTTTCTGGGTCGCCTTTCTCGTTGTTGGATGAGGCCATGAGGCTGAGCCGAGCTGAAAGTTCCTCGACATCTGCAAAACGAAAACAAAAAAAATAAAACATCGGTTACTCCATTCCAACGCAATTAGCAACGGCAAAGAAATGAACCCATCGAATTGAAAATGCGCAGTTTCTCCGAGTTGCAAGCATACACAAACAAATCGAAAAGTGTTTGTTTGAATTTGCAATTGTATCGCGCCGTAAAACGCGAATTATTTTTAGACTGTTTGAGAGAAAAGTCTGTTATTATGGAAACGGTTTCCTGGAGACCGGGACCAGTGTAATAACAATCTAGGCAATGGTAAGCGCGGATTGACGGAATAAGAGATGTTGTTTGCGTTTTCGTGCGTGGGACGCATGGAAATAATTCGTGATTTTCAGCAAAATGTAAGAAAATATATATGGAACGTGACATGAAAACCATCGACGATGAAAAAGAATTGCAGGCAGAGAGAGGTAGACAGGAAATCGACATCGATTCTGTTTTCGTTTACGAATCACATCAAATGTCGGAGGAAGTTTACAGAAAACGGTTTACATTTACCAAAACGAAATTAGAATTCAATAATAGGATAAAAGTTGTTTTTGAAGTTTTACAAAAATCGTGTATATTTTACCAAACATTCTTTACAATTTTAATAATCAAAGATTAATTGGAAAAACATTTCAAGGAAGCAACACACAAAATATTATTTTAAAAATCTTAAAATACTTTGAAAAGTATGTTAGTTTCATTTATACAATTTTTTAAAACTACATTTACCATTTCTATAATTTAAAAATCTCTTACTAATATTAATAAAAACTTACTCAATCTTCAAATACATTAGTTTTTATGTATTTACATTTGTTTTATATATGATAAATAAAGATTGATGAAGATCTAACTGATCTATTGGAATAATCAAATTTTTTCTACTTTTTGCGTGTAACAACAATGGTTGATCTAGCGTATTTGTATAAGAGTATGGGTTAACAAAAATGTTGTTTAATTTAGAAGATATAGTGTTTGAATATTTCGGTAAATTCTTATTGTGATATAGTTGGAAGGTTTAGTTTTATTGTGTTCAATCTGCAAAAACAAAATTGCTTATACCGAAATGATACGATTTTGAACCAAATCAATATTGTCGGAACGTATGTGACACATGTCGGTAGGATGAAGCGAACGAAACGCGTCGGCCTCCAATGCAAAACGCATTGCTTGGAGTCCGCTCGAGGCGCTCGCTTTGAATATGAAATTGTTATACATAAAGGACGAAGAACGAACAGAACGATGAACGACAGTCGGATTCGATGAATGTTCGAATGAACGATTGAATGAATGATCGTCAAGTGCGATCATTTACAAGACGTGGCCCGTCATTCATACGCGTGCAATGCGCGCACGGCGTAAATCGAAGCACCTGTTGAAGAATGTGCCCCCTCGTTCCGACGAGGACTCTAAATAATTCCACGTAACCGATATTTCATTCACATGCAAAGTAGAACCAAATTCGTAAATGTACAGTTATAGGCATTGCCATTGATCTCCTGTCGCAAAACAAAAACTTTGAATTGTCTTCTGAACGTAATTTAAAAACCACAAAAAAATAACATGGAAATCACATTATATATCAAGAGACATATGTTTCAACTGTACAATAACATAATTTATTATTATTTTATAATTCGATTTACTTTCCAAGCAAATGATGTAATTTTTTGTATTATTTTATATAGAATAATCGATTTATAATAGAAGTACGTCTTACGGCCTTTTATATAATATTTTTTTAAATCTGTAAAAAAAGATAAGTAAAAAAAAACATTTATTTATAGTACCCAAAGTTTTCCAAAGTCTTGTATTATGTATTTCCTTGGGCGGAAAGCCTTAGGTCGATAGCACTGTGGTTACAATTGTGACTAATAAATATTATTATTTATTTCCTTATTTTAATAAATATACAATAAATACTTTAAAACAAATTACTAAATAGTTTACGCCCATTCAAGTATATTCAACAAGACAATACTAAAGTAGACTTAGTAAATTGCTTTGAATTTACTATAGAAATAGAACTTGATATAATTTTCTAAATATATAAAGGGATACAATATTCAGGTAGTCAGCCGTTTGATGTGGCTTCCTATATAGTGCCTTGACACAGTCTACATAAATTCGATTATAGCTAACAAGGGAAAAAATCGTTTGCAAAGACTAAAAGCCTTTAATTATAGTAATTAATTAACACTATAAATATAATCCTCAACATAAATTATTTCCATGAAAATATATTTATTATGCTTTTCAAAGTTCGTTTTAAACATACATAGTTTTCACATTCATCAATCACTACGATTTATATTTAGCTTAATTAATAAATATCCGATGACCTTCATCCCATTCGATTATTTTCAAAGCTCATTAAAAAAATACTGATATTTTTCATTTCTCGGAAGCATGTAAATATTATTATTACTACAAATCGAGATTTACCATTAAAGTAATCAAACTCTAATAATCCAAACAATTATAAATTTATTAAATATAAATTATCTCATTTATCAACAATTTATTTAGAGGTTTATATATAATTTTCAATTGATTGAATAATTTTTATCTTCAAAATTACATATTTTAGAATTATTTTCTAAAAGAGTTTAACAAAATATCAATTAACATTTTCTACAGTTTATCGCAACAAAATGTGTTCTCAGATATTAGATTAAATGGGACTAATGATTTTGTTGTTAAGAGTAAACTATTTCCTAACCCATTTGATCTACCCCAAATGTTTGATTTACTAAATTATAGTCAGATCAGACGAAAATCAGACAGAAAGTCAGAATCATGGCGAAAATGGATTATTCAGCGATTCGATAAATGATTTTCCCCAAATTTATGAGCTTCAATCAATTATGAAGAGCTTAGTCGGTGTTAAACGTGATTGGTGTGGCATGTTATGTAGGTAATAACACTCCCTTCCTTCATTATGCTTAATAGCCAGAAATTTAAATTACAACAAAAAACGCTGCACAAATGCCATAAATAATCTTCCACGTCCACATTTTTTGCGTGCTGGTAACGATAAGCCCGACCCTCCGTAAATTAATTCTTTTAATCTTCAATATTTTCATGTAACGAATTGTCAAATATATTCAACACAAAAAAAAACATGCATCTTTTTTTGTATTAGTAATGTTAATTACGGCCGAGAGCAATTATTCATAATTAAAGTAATTTGTTATCTGTCGAAGCATTTGCGCAATTTTAATTTTATAGTGTTAATTATTTATAAACGTTTATGGTAAGTGTGAAGAAACGAGCTCAAGTTTATCATATATAAAAATGTGTGCCCCATACATGTGTATGAGCGTCGAATCTCGCTTTTACGTACCATGTCGAGGGCAGAGAATTATTATACATTCTGAAGATGTTTTCCAAAAAGTTATGTTTATTCTTTTTCGGGAGTAACCATATTTTTTTTACACTCCCCGTTGAAATTTCATATTCACCGCACACGCACATATTTTCTCAGTTTTATTGTTAATATGATTAATGTGCCACGTGACCCATGTAAATACGACTTTATCAACGATTTCTCGAATGGAAAACTGATTTATCATCCACATATAACTTTTATTAAGGGTATAAAACACTTACTATGAACAACCATCAGAAATTCCAGCGTTTTTAGAAGCCTAATAAAATGAAGCATTTTTTTAATTAATTTGTTCCAATCATTTTTTTCATAAAGAAAGAATTCGTAAAATGAGAATTCCAAAAATATCAACTCACAATCTGTTCAATTCAGGGGATTCAAATATTTTCCACTCAAATGTATACGAAAATAATTACATTTATAATTTCTACATTAAAAGTTTAAGCAAATATATTGTAAATATAAAATAGATGAAGATAGAGGTTTCTCAAGGTATATCAATTTGTATTTGTCACTTATTTAATAAGAACACATGATTACAGTTTAAAAAAGATTAGAAATCGATTTAAATGTATTAGGAAACAATTTACTTTTATAGACGAATTAAAATATTTTGTATTTGTTAATTAGAATATAAACTAGAAAAAATTGGTAAATTTGTTTTTAAAAGTTTCATTATTAAATAGACCAAGATAGAGATTTCTCAAGGTATATTAATTTGTATTTGTCACTTACTTAATAAGAACCATAAATATGTATTATAGAAGTGTTTTACAACATTAGGAATCGATTTAAATATGTAGATTTTATTAGGAAACAGTTTACTTTTATAAACAGAAACTAATTAAAATATTATATATTTGTTAATTAGAATATAAACTAGAAGATATTGGTAAATTTGTTTTTAAAAGTTTCATTATTATTATTCATATATGATTTAGCAACAGTGTGATTAAATAAATATGTTAAAAGAGAAAATCTTTCAACGAAAGAATCCACTTGAATTTGATTGAGATCCATTAATGTTCCAATCGAGATACTATACTAGTCTTGAGTAATTGAGATTATTCTGATAGTGACTCGAGTGAAGACAATGCTAAACTTTTAGTTATTCACATACAGTGGATGAATAATCATAAACGAAATTAACATGATGTTTTCTTTTTTGGTTGTACGGCCGTAGTTTCTGTAATAACACGTGCCCAGCCAAATTCCTTCAAACACGCATTACATAAATATCGATGAATGAAGAAGACGAGAACTATGCATGGATGCAGTCAATGGAACGTGTTACAATTTGTATGTAGAGTAGAGTAGTATGTGGGTTTCACGAGTTTTCTAGTAGACAGGTTGGCGCCAAAACTTATTAAAGACAGTACAAGGCGTGAATGTGTGCGTTTGCGTATGACCGAGTGTATGTGCATATGTATGTGTCTTGCTAAGCGCACGGGGCACTAATTAATAATTAATTGTGGCATACAGAGACACCAGCGTATTGTAATTTAAAACAGTCTCGTCAATTAATTACCAACATCCGGTGCATTTAATCACATCTTATATGCATTTCATACGCATTCTATACCAAGGACGAATCGCCAACACAATTG